TCACCCTGTAATAGACCTATGAACCTACAACATAACGCATTTGTTGTAGTCTGGTGACCAAGATCAATACAATGCATGAATACATACATAAGAAATGTTATAAATGCTTTAGTTTCTGCATGATACGTAGTGATGAACAGAGCGCTCCTTATAATTACCGCTGTGTGTTAGAAAATATTACTTCTAAATCCAGATAAATGTTATCTTCACGCACATCGTATTTATAAATCAAATCACTGTAGAGCTTACACTACACTGTATCCCAGTTACCCCACACTATGCCGACAGGCCGTGATATAACCGAATGCTCAAATCGCGTTTAACCCAAGGCATTCCCCTCATCCATTTGGCGTGTAAGTTTGAGTTTGTCCCCATCTTTTGTCCCTGCCCCCGTCTACCGAGAGGAAGGAGAACTACTCAATGGCGTGAACATTTGGAGTGTAAGTTTGAGTTTGTCCCCATCTTTTGTCCCTGCCCCCGTCTACCGAGAGGACGGAGAATTACTCAATGGCGTGAACATTTGGCGTGTAAGTTTGATTTTGTCCCCATCTTTTGTCCCTGCCCCCGTCTACCGAGAGGACGGAGAATGACTCAATGGCGTGAACATTTGGAGTGTAAGTTTGATTTTGTCCCCATCTTTTGTCCCTGCCCCCGTCTACCGAGAGGACGGAGAATTACTCAATGACGTGAACATTTGGCGTGTAAGTTTGAGTTTGTCCCCATCTTTTGTCCCTGCCCCCGTCTACCGAGAGGACGGAGAATTACTCAATGACGTGAACATTTGGCGTGTAAGTTTGATTTTGTCCCCATCTTTTGTCCCTGCCCCCGTCTACTGAGAGGACGGAGAATTACTCAATGGCGTGAACATTGCAACGTAAATCATACCACAATCATGAATGAGCAAAGCTGTCAGTTATGTGAAGGATATTGTGTTCCGGCCAGGTCGGGTACAGAAAGCAGTCTGGTGCACCGAGCCACCTGAGCGATATGTATTTTCAGATTCGCCGATTTCCGACATGTAGGCGACAAATAGACCTGCTGTACGGCAACAATGAAATCCTTTATTATACCACATGCCTCACGGGTGGTAATTTGAAAGAGAATTATTGGTTCAGCCATGTTAATCATGAAGGCGGCAGTGTATAAACGTTTGGGCTGACATGCATCTAAAGACGTTAAGTGAGTGAGTGAGTTTAGTTTTACGCCGCTTTTAGCAATATTCCAGCAATATCACGGCGGGGGACACCAGAAATAGGATTCACACATTGTGCTCATGTGGGGAATCGAACCTGGGTACAGTATCAAAGTTTAGCATTTTAAAATGAACAGTTATGTGATAAAGAGAAAATATGTATATCTACTGACCCTGACGTTTTCTCCATTGAACGTTGTCCAGAACTGAATTGAACTAAACTGATTGCCAGAAAGTGCACATCTGTCACTGTTTTTTTGTTTTTCTAATTGGTTGGGGTTTTATAGCTGTTGCTTCTATTTCTTTTTTTATCGTTTTTTCCTGTTTTTGTTCTGATTCGCTTTGTTTGGTGTTTTTTGTTGTTGTTGTTTTGTTTTGTTTTGTTTGTTTGTTGTTGTTTTGTTTTGTTTGTTTGTTGGTTTTGTTTTGTTTTGTTGTTGTTGTTTTGTGTGTGTTTTTTTTTGGGGGGGGGTAAGGGGACCATTCACCATCTGCTCACTGGGTGACTTCTTCAACAGCGTTGGGTCACAACGTCAGCAGGAGCATGTTGATGAGACGGTGACTGTGTGCTGTCGGCATCTGGGTTTATCGACCATTTCGGGGCATGTCATCAAACCGTCAACACTGACTAGACGATGGCAACGTCACAGTTGTCTACCGGCGGTGTTTTGGCAACACATACACAATGTTAGTGACTCGTAAGTCACAATAAAAAAAACTTATAATTGAAAATATCATTGAAAATAATCCTAAAGTACCAACTATATGCTTTTTTGTACGTCAGTTTACAAGTGGGACGGTATATTATAATGTCCTTCTAGCATCTGTTTTGTACGTCAGTGGGACAAGTGGGGTGGTATATTATAATGTCCTTCTAGCATCTGTTTTGTACGTCAGTTTACAAGTGGGGCTGTATATTATAATGCCCTTTTAGCATCTAGTTGGACGGTATATTATAATGTCCTTCTAGCATCTGTTTTGTACGACAGTGGGACAAGTGCGACTGTATATTATAATGTCCTTCTAGCATTTGTTTTGTACGTCAGTTTGCAAGTGGGACGGTATATTATAATGTCCTTCTAGCATCTGTTTTGTACGTCAGTTTACAAGTGGGGCTGTATATTATAATGTCCTTCTAGCTTCTGTTTTGTACGTCAGTTTACAAGTGGGGCGGTATATTATAATGTCCTTCTAGCATCTAGTTGGACGGTATATTATAATGTCCTTTTAGCATCTAGTTGGACGGTATATTATAATGTCCTTTTAGCATCTAGTTGGACGGTATATTATAATGTCCTTCTAGCATCTGTTTTGTACGTCAGTTTACAAGTGGGGCTGTATATTATAATGCCCTTCTAGCATCTAGTTGGACGGTATATTATAATGCCCTTCTAGCATCTAGTTGGACGGTATATTATAATGCCCTTTTAGCATCTAGTTGGACGGTATATTATAATGTCCTTCTAGCATCTGTTTTGTACGTCAGTTTACAAGTGGGGCTGTATATTATAATGCCCTTCTAGCATCTAGTTGGACGGTATATTATAATGTCCTTCTAGCATCTGTTTTGTACGTCAGTTTGACAAGTGGGACGGTATATTATAATGTCCTTCTAGCATCTGTTTTGTACGTCAGTTTACAAGTGGGGCAAGTGGGACGGTATATTATAATGTCCTTCTAGCATCTGTTTTGTACGTCAGTTTACAAGTGGGACTGTATATTATAATGTCCTTCTAGCATCTGTTTTGTACGTCAGTTTACAAGTGGGACGGTATATTATAATGTCCTTCTAGCATCTGTTTTGTACGTCAGTTTACAAGTGGGGCGGTATATTATAATGTCCTTCTAGCATCTGTTTTGTACGTCAGTTTACAAGTGGGGCTGTATATTATAATGCCCTTCTAGCATCTAGTTGGACGGTATATTATAATGTCCTTCTAGCATCTGTTTTGTACGTCAGTTTACAAGTGGGACGGTATATTATAATGTCCTTCTAGCATCTGTTTTGTACGTCAGTTTACAAGTGGGACAAGCTTCTGTTTTGTACGGTATATTATAATGTCCTTCTAGCATCTGTTTTGTACGTCAGTTTACAAGTGGGACGGTATATTATAATGCCTTCTAGCATTTGTTTTGTACGTCAGTTTACAAGGACAAGTGGGACGGTATATATAATGTCCTTTCTAGCTACGCATCCGGTTCTAGCAGTTTGTTTTGTACGTATAGTTTACAAGTGGGACGGTATATTATAATGTCCTTCTAGCATCTGTTTTGTACGTCAGTTTGCAAGTGGGGCTATATATTATAAAGAACATCTAGCATCTGTTTTGTACGTCATTTACAAGTGGGAGGGTATATGATAATGTCCTTCTAGCATCTGTTTTGTACGTTGGTTTTGCAAGTGGGGCTGCATATATTTATAATGATAACCTGAATCTAGCATCTGTTTAATATCATCGTCAGTTTATCAAAAATAGTCTTGTCAAATTTATACAATGTCCTTCTAGCATCTGGACTTTAAATGTACAACAGTTTGATAACAGGTCAGAGATTGCCGTCGACGTGTATTCACTGCTGTCGGAAGGGGTTAACCATGACTGTCAAGGTGGTCGAGCACACATACACAGCAGCAAGTATATCACTAAATATATACAGCTCTGATTACTGGGTGTACAAGCAGGGGGTCACGTTTGTATATCTGTCATTAGGAGAAGCATGGCTTATCGTTGAGGTATTTGGAAGATATTGAGATTCGCAATATCATAGGAGTATTTCATGCCATAAATAATGTTGTCTTTGTTTGGGTTGGAATATGATGGCAACTTGCCATATTCGTGTACGTAGTTTGATAGAATATGAGATAATATTGTTGACTAGTTATACTCGTACGCATTCGGGATTTATATATGTTATGTTTATATCATGCAGTGTTTCAAAGTTTTAAGCCGACGTATGTGCAGTGAAACCTTTGGATTGTTCGGTTTGAAGAATTTAATGAAAGTTATGCAGCGAAGCACACAATAAGATCTTACACTTGAGTTGATGTATCGTCTGTGAAACAGGACGTGGGTATTAAGAGAATTGTTATTTTTCACGTAGTATACAATACAACTAAGGATCATAGCTATATAATATATACTGTTAGGATCCAAGGATTACGAAACAGATTCCATTTGTCGTAAAAGGCGAAACAGTGGTTCAGTGGTCACTAACAACCATCCAAAGAAACACGCGGTATTAAACTAATGATATTAATTACAGTCTTATCTGGAAATTAACTGTCGCAAACTCCAACATCGTGACATATTCTTATCACTGTGATCGTCAAAACTAAAACAAACTGTAGCAGACAGACCAGTGGACGCTGGGCATTGAGTGGCAGGCCATATGGTAACTCTCTCCATTAATCAGGCGGGGGATACTTAAAGATGCTTAACAGATGAATTATTCACGTTAACTGCCCGTCTACTATTGTACACTTAATATAACGCGCCTTAGTCGGATATGACGAAATGTTGAAGACTTGGGCTTGGCTTCGATAGCCATTCTCCGATGTCTCCGATCGATGCTTTAAATAATTCCTTTGGTCAGAAATTGATTTCTCCAAATTCCCTGCATTATCACGCCATGCTTGGTGGCCTGTCTGCGTGTCTACTATCCACGTGCTGCTTTCATGAAACTTTGAATATATCGTCCCTAAGCACGAACTGTTCGATTAAGCATACGCGTGATGTAATGGAGGACATCCTTGTTAAAGCCGGTGGACGATAGTGGAAGTCTATATCTGTTAAACACTGACGCCAGCAAGAGGCGTTAGAACTGTATCAAACATATTCTTATGTCGATATATGCGCACCCAATCGGGTGGACGAACAGCGGACGGATAAAGGTGTAGAGCCGGGGCTATAAGCTGTCACTGACGGATCGTTGTAATGATAGATTTATACTGTGGCGCTGAACGAGATCTACTGTGCCCAGTGAATAGCAGTTACCGGCCTTAGTGATCAAAACAGCGCCGCTGTTCGATCAACTTGCCTGAACGGAGCGTCTTTCAACAGTAACAATATTGAAGCGTCGAGACGTTTGTGATGACTGACTGTTACAACCAGGTGTTGAAAACATCTAAACATCATAAGCGGTGGATACTTAGATGGCAATAGAAGATATAAACTTCTCACAGGAGCGATCTGATCATTCAATTCCGCGGGTGAAGGCAATGTGTAAAGTTTATTGAAAGATATACAAACGCGGGAGACTATACACTGAAGTGTCTGACGATTCACCGTCTCAGGTGACAGTTTACATATACACATCGGTAATGAAGCAATGCCTCTTGAAGACTCGCATACAGGAGTAAACAAAGTAGTATCATTCACCGAATAACTACAGACACTGTGTGGAGCTAGCCGAATGTTATGATCTCTTCTCTATGGGAGCCACGGTGTTGATTTTCTGTCAGTGATACAACCAAACCGAGTCGGTTAATTGACATGTATATTAAAGTCCAGACTTCAAGGGATTGGATCCGTCAGGTAGAAGTAACATATTGCCACTGTGTCCATCTAGACAAACACTAGATACTCAAGTAGATTTCCGTATAATGACAGAAGGACTTCTAACAAGACGTACTAGTGACTCTGTGGGTCTGGACGTCAAATAGACGTACCGTGGAGAAAATTGGTGAAGTGGTTACACGTCACACTTGGGTAGCAAATATTGGTGAAGTAACATATGAGGATACACAAGACAAAGGTATGTACACTACATATATTGCATGTTTTGTTTTGTTGCGCCTGTTGTTTAACGCCACACATAGCAATACCCCTGTTATATGATGGAGGCACGTAAATATCGAGTCTGGAAAAGACCAGCCCAGACAGCGAGACTGACCAACCGACAGTCCTCTGTGACGACAGGCATAGGTAATTGAAGACCCGTTTCTATTGTCTATGTCCTGCTACAACACACCTGACAATGGAAGATTTATTCTAAAACACACCTGGCAATGCCAGTTTCATGCTAAAACAGAACTGACAATGACAGTGTCATGCTAAAACACACCTGACAATGACAGTTTTATGTTAAAACACACCTGACAATGACAATGTCATACTAAAGAAGAACTGACAATGACAGTGTCATGCTAAAAGACACCTGACAATGACAGTTTCATGCTAAAACAGAACTGACAATGGCAGTGTCATGCTAAAATGCACCTGACAATAACAGTTTCATGCTAAAACAGAACTGACAATGACAGTGTCATGCTAAAACACACCTGATAATGACAGTTTTATGCTAAAACACAGCCGACAATGACAGTGTCATGCTAAAACAGAACTGACAATGGCAGTGTCCTGCTAAAATACACCTGACAATGACAGTGGTATGCTAAAGTAGAACCGACAATGACAGTGTCATGCTAAAACACACCTGACAATGACAGTGTCATGCTAAAACAGAACTGACAATGACAGTGTCATGCTAAAATATACCTGACAATGACAGTGTCATGCTAAAACAGAACTGACAATGACAGTGTCATGCTAAAATACACCTGGCAATGACAGTGTCATCCAAAACAGAACTGACAATGGCAGTGTCATGCTAAAATACACCTGACAATGACAGTTTCATGCTAAAACAGAACTGACAATGACAGCGTCCTGCTAAAATACACCCGACAATGAGAGTGTCATGGTAAAACAGAACTGACAATGGCAGTTGTATGCTAAAGTAGAACTGACAATGACAGTGTCATGCTAAAACACACTGACAATGACATGTTAATGCTAAAACAGAACTGAAAATGACACAAAAACACAGCCGACAATGACAGTTTTCTGCTAAAACAGAACTGAAAATGACAGTGTCATGCTCACACTCACCTGGCATTGACAGTGCCATGCTAAAATACACCTGACAATGACAGTGGTATGCTAAAACACACCTGACAATGACAGTGTCATGCTAAAATACACCTGACAATGACAGTGTCATGCTAAAACAGAACAGACGACCCCTGAAGAACCGTGTGACTAACAGATCAGGTAGTCAGACTCACTGACTTGATGCTGTCATTGTATCCCACGTGAGTAGAACCATGCTCGGGTTGTCCATCACTGGACCAGACTTTATGCTATGCATAAACGGAATTGACAAAGACAGTTCCATACTAAAACAGAACTGACACTGATAGAGACAAGCTGAAACGGCACTGACACTGTTGGTTCCAAGATTTGTTTCATTCATGGAATAACCGTTGGTGTGTATTGATGGAGTATATTTCTTAATATTGCTTCTTAACGTTTGGCCAAACAAGAAACACACTCTGCTAAATCAGATAAAGGCCGCAATCTAAAGTTTGCAAACAGGGGAATTGATATTTTAAATTTCCGTAAAATTTTGATAACAGTTTCGCAGAATGTGTCAAAATATTTCAGATGTCAAGAAATACCAACAATATTCTATTCCTAAGCGAGCACAAATTCACCCAAATTGTTCAGTTATAGGACCGTGTTGCAGAATGTCGAATTGGCAGATTGCGATGTAAATTCGACCTCATGGGCTGCCGAGACATATAGACAGACGTACATACAGACATTATATTTAGTAAAAGGCCATTGGCCCAACATACATTCATAAATACCTATTTTGCATGAGTTTTACACAAAAACATCATATTTTTATATTTTCCTGACATTATAAAATGATAGTCATAAATTATTTATAACATTTATATTTGTTGAAGACATTATATAAACAAAGCTGTGTTGTGATAGATGATGTTTCAAATATTTATCTAGAAATTTATTCCTTACATCTAAGTAGGTTTACAATAAAGTAAAACATGCATTTCATCCTCAAATATATTAAGATTAATCTATTGCAAAAAGGATAGAATCTTAAATCATAGAGGGCATTGTTATATCTACCAGTCGCAGCGCTAGGTTTAACATTACCACATCTAAAGTTTGTCAAACAATTTCATAAATATGGGGCAATAAGTTTCAACATTTAGGAGGGGCTTGAAAAGTATATAATTAGAACACTTGTTTGTATTATGTAGGGATGAATACCAGTCTTGTGAAAGATTATCAAAGACTTTAACATTAAATAAAACTGATGAGGTAATCTACAACTGACAATGACTAAAAATCTACACCAATATTTAACTCCCCTTGACATATATGTAAGTTGAAGAGGGAATATGCCACATTCACCAAAACCATATTGTTACAAATATTTTTTGCCAATTTTTAAGAAATCTTTACATCTTATTATCAGGATTTGTTCAATGATTTTACAATGCGTGACACCCCGAATTTCTGACCCGTATCAAAGAATAGGTTTAACCACAGCATCAATTATTTTGAAAAGATCCACACATGACAAATAACCTACGCTGTTTTGGTATCTATAGACAGCCATAAGGACTTTATTGACTTGAGAAGCACTGGTAGTCTGAGAGACAGCTAGTTGGTGTTATCAATTTTATCAGAAGGCAGGAGGCATTTCGTATACACGTATCAATTAGCCCTGTCAACACCAGAAGTATATTTCTGTAACAGTATTATACCGGTCCTGTTCTGGGGCTGTGCTGCCATTAAGAAAAAAATGTATATGAATAGATGGAAGGATGGATGGATGGAGAGGCATGTAAATTATTTACAACCTGTAAACAAAATGTTAATAATGGCATTATTTATTGTCCAAAAACGACATACATAACATTGTCACATGTAATTGCAAATTGTGCAGAGGAAACCGTAGTAAGGCTGACTGACTGACTGAGTTTGGTTTTACGCCGCTTTTAGCAATATTCCAGCAACATCAGGGCGGGGGACACCAGAAATAGGATTCACACATTGTACCCATGTGGGGATTCGAACCCGGGTCTTCGGCGTGACGAGCCAACGCTTTAACCACTAGGCTAACCCCCGGCCCCCCGTAGTAAGGGATAAAGTATATATATACGGTCTATGCTATGACATACTAATCATCAGGAACGAAATATAATAGTTATTATTACATGAATTATATATTTCTTACTTAATGAAATTGATTACATAAGATACATAGCACTATATTATTAAAGAACTGGGTTTTTTTGTCAGTGATGGCAAAAGTAACTGTTCCAGTGTAATAATTGTTTGTTTGTTTTCCAAAATATCCATCTCTCTGCATCCTTGAACTTACAAACAAAAAGCAAAAATAAAAGCAGCAAAATATTTTGCAAGCTGATTATTAGTGAGTTTCATCAGCTCTCTAGGGCTTCGAAAATATTGACTTTCTGTCGGGTTATGTATGGGCAGTCCATTGGAATGTAACAGATTAGAGGAAACACATCACTGATACAATCTGCCCTCAGAATGTCAGAGAGCTAAACCAGTGCTACTGAGGATTGCCATGTAAACATTTTCACAATCTCGATTACGTTGCTGTCTACAAATGAAAGTATAATTGCAAATTGAATTTGTGACAATTTATTAATAAGTTTGGAGTAAACTGACAAGCATTGACAAGCATTAACAAGCATTTCTACGAGAGCTGTAAAAAAGAAAGACTAATCTCTAAGATGAGTAAGTTAAGATATTTATTGCACAGTATACCTTGAAGGGACAGTGGCAATTTCCTATAAACTACACATATACATGTAATATATAGTAATAATATATTTGTAGAAACTTCAGGTATTCTGGCATAAATATTGATTTGTAGTTCTTTTTAAACCGGTGATTCCAGAGGTATAAATGATAACTGGGAAGAGCCATTAATGGCATATTCTAAACAGTAAACCGTATTTACAGAAGTGGCAAGTGCACTTAATCTCCAGACTCCAGACTCCAGACCCCACTCCGAGGCTCCACTCCAAGACTCCACTCCATATTTTACAGCATGCCCATAAGCCCTGCTAGTAGACGCAGCAAATGTCGGCTTGACACCATCCAAATTGGAGAGGCGTTAGTTCCTATCTCTACCAGCGTGAAGGACCTTGGCATAGTTATAGACTCAACCCTTGACTTGAACAAACAAGTCAGCCAGTTGTCTCGATCTTGTCACCTACAGCTAAGAAACATTAGGAAAATTAGAGCATGTCTGACAAAGATGCTACGAAAACACTGGTCCTTTCATTAATAATTTCAAGGATGGATTATTGCAATAGCCTCCTAGCCGGTTCTCAAATAAATGTCAGCAGAAGATTGCAACCAATCCAGAACAAAGCAGCCAGATTTGTTTCAATCTCCCAAAAATCAGACCATATCACGCCGATCCTCAAAGAACTTCCTTGGCTTCCTGTTCAACAGAGAGTCAATTTTAAACTTCTCTGTCCAGCTTATCAGTCTCATTCTCATATTGCTCCATCTTATCTCTGTGAACTCCTCCAGCCCAGCATTCCATCCAGATAGCTCCGCTGACAATCTCAACAGCTATTCAGTGTGCCTGAAGTCAAACTGTGTACTTATGGACAACGGGATTTTTCCCATTCTGCAGCTTATCAGTGGAACATTCTCCCTCAAGAACTACGTACTTCTCCAGCCTACTCTTCGTTCCGTACGACTCACTTGTTCCATCAAACATTCGTCTGAACACTCCTTTTCCTTCTTAGCGCTTTGTAGCAAGATATTCATCCTGGAATGGCGCTATATAAGTGGACTATTACTTTTACTAGTTTGACAGTTTGTCCATACCAGCCTAGGAATGAACACAACACCCAAATACCTGTAGTATGAAACAATTTCCAGCCTTTCACCAAGAAGAAACCACTTTTCATAATTTCTGGGACATATAATCACGGAGTAACTTCTCCATTGTTGACAACAGCAACCTTCGTCAGATATTCAAATATGGGTCTAAGTATAATTACAACCTCGTTCCAACTGGGATTAAAACATTAATATCAGCATGGGAGCTATCGAAGCATATTCCAAAAATGGTCAGAAGAGAAGAGGAACCCATAGAATGCGTTGAGTGGGTTAACTCAGTGCGTGATGCTGTCATTGATAGAACGCACACACTGACAAAGAGGAAACAGAATTGGAATAGAACCATTCTGTCCAAGCCAGCTGTCATTCAATATCTGTAGTTGTTCTAGGCATCAAATAACATAACTATTATGTTATGTTAAAAGCATAATTTAAAAAAAATAGTTGATCTAACAGCTGTGTATACGTGACAATCAAGTATTTGAACTGAAGAAGAAATCTGTTAAAACCATCCATCGGTGCTATCAACGATTGGCCTGACTCTAAAACCCGAAGACATGTCCATTCCTCTTTCGTACTGGATGTCCATTCCTCTTTCGTACTGGATACATAAAATGCGTAAGAGAGAGCTATATTGCAAGACCATAATCCTTAATATTACCAAAGAAGGACTTTCTTTATATTCACAGAAGGTATTTGATACCAGCGGAATTAATATCATGTGGACTCTAAAACAAAAACCAAAGGAATTGCTTGAATTTGTATAATCTCAGAAACGGACCGAGTTTAGTTTTGTCAAAACATTTGATCTTTCAACGTTCTACATCACTATCCCACATGATAAACATAAGGAAAAACTCAATTTCTTGATCCATGGGGCATTTATATATACGTGGTTAACAAAGATATACCTACATATCTATCTTCAGAGGTTCAGGGCAATTTGTCAAAAATGAGAGAAAATGTCATTTGAAGTTTAATGATAGGACAATATGTGAAGTGTTGGACTTCCTCATTGAAAACAAAATTTGGGGTCATCCCCATGGCATTGTTCTCCCCGTCCTTACGGATCTGTTTCTTTATGCATATGAATCGAAGTTTCTGCTTGGGTTGGCAAAAATCGAAACAAGCTAATTAAACCAAGAAGTTTAACGTACATATTCCAACAGCTCAAGCCTTTACATTGCACAACTTCTGAGGTACAATCAAGAATGCTGTTTTAGAATAACGTCATACTACTCTTGCCCAGACATTGTTCGTTCAAGGTTACAACATTGAAGGCCTCGGTAAAGCTTTCAAACAGTTTTATGGTAGATATGTGCAGAACCTTTCAAGCTTTTATGCATCACTGACAAAACAGCAAATCCCTATTTTAGGTACACAGTTGACAGTCCTTTGCACATGTTTATGACGAACGCCAACACCTGGTATCAAAACTGTTGGATAGTGGTTCGTGCTCTGTCATCGTATGTCATGGTGTCAAGCCCTGGATTGTCTGGCCCAGGCTGAATTGTTTACAGACTGCGTCGTACATCTGTAATACTGCTGAATGCGGCGTCAAACAAACATACACATGACATTGTCAGAATTGTAGTTCAGCTATATACTCTACTAAACTGAGGAACTTGACCACTACATTATTGGTAGTTGTGAGCGGGCAAATTCGTTTCAGCTTCTTGTGCCATACACAATGGCGTGTATGGTGTTTCAACATGGTCTTAGCGACCCACAAAATATGATTGTGGTTATAAGGCCTGAAACAGACCAATCGCGTGCAGCGAGTCACATGATTAGTCGGGTGTGAAGCAGGATGGGGAACAGTGTTGTGTTTCATTTGGAAGGAGAAGCGTAATGGTTTGGCGGCCATTTTGTGCCAATGGTTGACCTGAATTGATTGCCGTCCAGGGAAATCTTACTGCCATAGTGTGTCGTGACCAGATTTTGACCCCAATCCTGCCATCCGTGCAGCTACATACAGCTCCATGTACTGGCATACTGGCATTCCAACATCTTCTGTTTCAACTGTTTCGTGAAGTTGGCTTTGTGTGTGTGTGTGTGTGTGTGTGTGTGTGTGTGTGTGTGTGTGTGTGTGTGTGTGTGTGTGTGTGTGTGTGTGTGTGTGTGTGTGTGTGTGTGTGTGTGTGTGTGTGTGTGTGTGTGTGTGTGTGTGTGTGTGTGTGTGTGTGTGTGTGTGTGTGTGTGTGTGTTGTAGTGATGGGTAGTGGGGGTGGGGGTCAATGCAATCATGCAACGATCTACATTTCATTGTCTGTATTGGATCACTATGATACACAGCCATTTTCACAATGCCTTACATACTACTTCTATTCTTAGATTCCATTCAATATGTGTCATGGGTTGTTTTAGTTGTTTGAGTATTGTTTAACTACTTTTCGGACGTACATAAAAGTGACCATCCGTTTTGATTATCATAACAAATATATTCCCAAAGCATATGAGCCTTTTTGGCGATTCTGGTTATTCCCTAAACGTGTGTCTATGACTCATGTGGTGATGACACCGGGTAGTGGCGAAAAACTCATCGTATCCTGCTCCATGGATAATGTGGAGTTCAAATACCTAATGAACATTTGATATTATTCTTTGTACCCTTGAATTATGTTTTAAATTTTAAGTCACTATCATAGTTTCTCTTCTCCACGAATCACGCTCAATAACACGACAACCGAGTTTGTACACGAGAAGCGGGTGGTGCTAATTTCAACTGCCTATCCCGCAGTGCATATTTTACCGGTAGCGGTTATGTTGTCTCCCCGCCGGGGCTGTATTCCGTGACGGTGAAGGCAGTGTTGTGGCAAGCGGGACCTAGTTACTGCCAAGTGTTGCTTGTCTATACATTATTTACAGTGTCCTACTGGTGTATGAGCCACACTCTGGAGCGGAAGTCAGCAGGGAACATACTCAATACATTCTTTTGATGCTTACGTAACGGTTCTTACATCTCAAGTGTATGTAAGTATCTGGGTGGGGTCTTTATTTCCTCCTGTTCACATGATTATGTTTGTGTTGACACGAATGGAAAGTGTTGTATTTATCTCCATTGTCTGTTTACACTGTTGAAGTTTATCATGATTAAGTATTTCATTTGAAAAGGAAAGGTCTAAATACATACAAGGAAGTCTCACTCATCAGGCTTGTTTCGATTCTTAACAGGCCAACGTGATATTGCTACAATGGGTTATGAGTGTGAACAAGACTCTCTCACTCAAGACTAGCTAGGAAATGATTTTATTGCTAGGCGCAGATAAACGATATATCGGATATGCAAAATATGAAACAAAGTGCCAAACCATCTATAACAAGGAATTAAAAGTTACTCACTAACAACACATATGCGCCCGGTGTAATCCCATTTCTGAAGCGTCAGATGAAAATAATGAAAATGTATTTTTCTGTCACATTAAGGTTAAGTTAATATCCAATGTAAACGCATAATCAATTAAATACACTCAAATAGACATAAACAAATACGATAGATTCACGATTATACATTATTAATAATATAAAATATACGATCCCACCACCCCACATCACGTCTTAACATATTATACTACAAACAAAAAGTATGGGAACACCCTAAGATTTGATAGTCATATATAAACCTAAACGTGGTGGGGTTATTTATACTCTAAGATAAATGCAATTTTTTGTGTGCTTAATGGGCACTAAAACGACATGTTGGAGCATGCAGTGTCGCTGTTTTTCACAATGTTTCATTTCACTCAAACTCAACGAATATTGAATCAGTTGCTTCACTGCATTTTCCAACATGTTGTTTATAGTGCCCATTAAGCACACAAAAATTGCATTTATCTTAGAGTATAAATAACCCCACCACGTTTAGGTTTATATATGACTATCAAATTTTAGGGTGTTTTCATACTTTTTGTTTGTAGTATATATAAACTGAAGTAATATACCAGTAAATAAATGTTGTCTCCAGCTATTGTTTTGCAACAAACACTGTAGTCGGTACTGTAATAAGATACATCTTGCAGATTAGCCATGAGTGGAATAAGCGTCGTGACACAGACAATGATTACTCCCCGACGATTCACGTGTTGGACCGGAAGAGAGCAGTTGAAGCCTGCTGTACAAGACCTCAGTGGTCAGCTGAGACCACCTACAAGAAGTCTGTCCAGTTCTTCCGGTAAGTGACGTTAATAATATTGCAATGTTACTTAATACTATCGTGTATATGTATGGATATTCGTATGTACGACGAGTTGAATGGTTTATAGGTTAGCAGAAGTAGACACAGACGGGAGGAAGCTGCTCAGCTAACACAGACTGTTTTCGCAACGTTGTGGGAAGATTGTAGATTGGTAACGTCATGACACAACGTTGTCACAACGTAATTCGTACTACGTCATTTTATAACGTTATACAACGTAATAGAGACGTTGCAGATTTACGTTGAGGAAACTTTATGCTTTGAACTCGTCGCAACGTTGTAATAACGTTTCTAATAAGTTGGTGTCACGATCGAGTTTTCTGTAAAACTTTTCGCTTAGAGATTCTTCCTTCCCTATTCAGCTACAGCTTCAGAAAACTCACGACCAAAAACAACATGCAAATTGACGAATAAACATTGAAATGAATATCTGCGTTGTTTCTTATGTACTATTCACTACTGTGAAAACTATTCAACTATTAGCGTTAAGTAGAACGTTAAGACAATGTAGAATACGTTAATATCAAATAACTTTAACCTTGTGGCGACGTAAAAATGACGTATCACAACGTCAGGCCACAACGTTGTGACAACGTTAGTGGGAGTCCACAGAATAACGTTGTCACAATGGAACACAACGTTGTGACAACATGAAATTGTTAGAGGGGAGGGCACCACAGTCTAGTGGACAGTTTGGGGGTAGGTCTAGACACGATAACTTTTGACTGATGCGAAACTTAGACATCCTTTATGTTATATATAACTTGGACATCCTTTCTGTTATATGGGGGAAGTCTATGCGGGGGCCTTTTACATTTTATTGAATCGTATCCTATATGTCACTACAATATTGATATTTCCTTACCAAGTCATTGCGATTACGTAAAGGCGGTTGTTTCTTAACACCATATATTTTCAATAATTAATAAATTAATTAACAATCACTCTTATTTGAATTCTAATTATTGACGCCTTTAACATTTACAAATGTTGAAATGACTTGAACACACTAGGTTGAACACACACTCCCTTCATTAACGTTTTTTTTGTATGAGGGGCAGTGGGGTAGCCTAGTGGTTAAAGCGTTCGCTCGTCACGCCGAAGACTCGGGTTCGATTCCCCATATGGGTACAATATGTGAAGCCCATTTCTGGTGTCCCCCGCCGTGATACTGCTGGACTATTGCTACAAGCGGCGTAAAACTAAACTCACTCACTTACACTCACTGTTTGCAGGAGGTCATTTAAAGTTTTCTATAATTTTCACATCAACGTGTGTACAACCTTGTTTCCACAGATGAAGATGGGAACGGTAATTACCTCTCCTTTGGCCCGCAAGGTTTTCTGAGTGAGCGACACAATGCTCTCACGTGTCGGCCTTTCCTCACACAGCGTCAGACATCGAGGAGTGCAGGGATGAACACACAAAGGGGAGATAACTGTATACATCGCCAAACCGTGCAAAGAAGTGCACGTCTCAGGTCTCGTTTAAGTTATACGAGATCTCGCAGCGCAGACCAGATGCTGAACACAGTAGCCAATAAAACCTACGACAGCGAGGAACTGTTGTCACTTCAAGTGGCAAAATCAGTGGATAGGTCCCGTGACTCCATGCAAGGACATATGTATGTAGACTACTATGATATATATACTTTTTTATAAAAACAGTACTTAACTGTTCAGCTGAACTGCACCCGTTATATATTCGTCACTCTGCATACTGATTATGTTTCAATGTTTAAGACACATGTTCAGTATACCAAAATGCTTCACAAATCACAAACTATATAGTAGTGACATTTCACAATATTTTTTACCTTATTTTCATTAATCTTGTCAATAGCAGGGAATCAAAACAAATCACTCGATTGCTTATTACAGTGTTCATGAAAGAAAATTCTTCTTGTCAAACATGGCTGTAATAAAGCAGTCATAGACAAGAGCATAGATTTATTATTTGATTTGTCAAGATTGTCTCTTTCAAATAATATCAAGGAACAAGACACATTGTAAAACAGTGGAGGAAGAGTTAGTGAGTGAGTATGGTTTTACGCGGCTTATAGCAATAATCCAGCAATATCACAACGGGGGACACCAGAAGTGGCTTCACACATTGTACCCATGTGGGGAATCGAACCCAGGTCTTCGGAGTGACGGGCGAGCGCTTTAACCACTAGGTTACCCCACCGCCCTCCGGAAGAAGAAACACCATTTGTTTCGTAGCATGCATGCACCCTGACTTAGTTGAACTAACAGTAGAGCTGAGGTATTTTCATCTTACGCTCATTGCATTCAATGCTGTTATTTTGATGACGTGTTCATCTGATTCAGTGGCGGTGGGGTAGCCTAGTGGTTATAACGTTCGCTCGTCACGCCGTAGACCCGGGTTCGATTCCCCACATGGGTACAATGTGTGAAGCCCATTTCTGGTGCCCCCGCTGTGATATTGCTGGAATATTGCTATACTCGGCGTGAAACTAAACTCACTCACTCACTCAATCATCTGGTTCAATGATACCCTCTCCAAACCAGAGCATTGGGCGTGCATATAAGTCCTCAGTCGTGGAGCCCCAGCATCCCGTTTAACCCTAGAGTTTCAGTAACGAGGTTACATTTGTTTGTTATTTATACACACCGTTCTGCTGTACAAAGATGTGTCTCGCAAATCCACGTGCGATCTCAAATATCTGGTGTTGTGAATTATGTTGAGAGTATGTGTTTGTGTCATTCACCTGCATCATACTTTGACCCCAGGTACACCTTACCTTCGTCAAGGATGTCCCAGCGTGATATCGTAGTTCAACCCCGGCCAGCCACAACCACCGGCCGATACTTCGACTCTGCCAATGGGCTCCGCTGTAGGAACATGCACCAGAACAGGAGGCCTCAGACAGCAGGGTCCTGGCTTGCTTCGGGCCTCAAGATACAACGAATCAAACTTCAATCAAAAAACGATTTTGGTCTGAAACTGGAAGCCAGTGTGAAGGAAAGGTAGATGTGACAGTCCATGCGACGTGTGATACAAAGAAACACTGGCCAAGTGTTTGGAATTGAGAAAGGGGTTCAGGAAGACATATAGAATCCAAAGTTTAAAGGTGATAAATGTTGACATGACAGTCGCTGTGATATGTGCGTGGTACCTGGACCCCTCCCGTGTCGAGAGGTGTTCCTAGCTATCAGTCTGGTAAAGATGACCTCTCGAAGAACTATACTATTTGAGAAGGCGATGGTTCTTTTAACCAAGGCATACATGGTTGCTTCATGGAGCATGTGGTAACAGAATAAACGGGAAAATGAAGTGTGGTGTTAGAGGGCTTTGGATTTGGAAGGACGAGTAGGGGGAACCAGAGGTTAAATGCTTGGTGTGGTAGTCTTGCGAAGGATGAGGAAACAGCCTTCATCCTGAATGTAAATACATGATGTACATTGATCTCGCCATGCCAGTATTCGGTTTGTTTCAGGATGAACTGTTCGTATTGAGATATATCTGAGCCGTGGGTTAGTTTTTCCGTAGTTAGCCCAGCTTTTATCTTTGAATTTTAAATCTGAACATTATTTTTTATATTTGTGCATTTTGCTTTACTGTTTAACTGAGTATCGATGTGTTCATAACTTCATATCATAAGTCGTGTCATTTTTTCACAATTTAAGACTTACTCACACATTCACAACTTGCTGATGAAACACGCACACTTCCGCTAATGTAAGAAATACAGTTGATAATATGTGATCAAACATTGCATGCAAGTGAGTGAATGGTTGATATCTCACCTCGCAATGCTGCAACTAAATGACGCGCCCCTCTATGGACCAAGGTCTGGACAAATTTAGTTGTTGCTGCATAACCCACGCCATTCGAGGAACGCCACACAATCGGCATAGTTTATTGTACCAAGGGGTTGACCATGAAGACACCATTATAACCAGGCTCAAGTCAAGTATGCTGCTATTGTGCCTGAAACATTACTTGTCATCTGCAGCAACCGTTATTGACGTAAAAGGAGAATCTGTACCTGTGACTGACAAGGATACATTAATAATACACGTATATTTCAATCAGCGGGAACGTTGTAACTTATGTACAGATTTAGATCAAACTCGCCAATATTATATCAAATCTACATAGTGATCAGTGGATGTCTGCATCTTCTTGCCAAACTCTATTGTCATCGTTTTCAAAACGGTTGTTTCCATTACCTGTCTACAGTGTCCAGTATTGATAAGGCGGACACGCCATTCTTTATATAATCTAGTTTCGCACTAAAGGACTTCGTTAATATTGATATCGTCCATGTAATCCTCGTGTCTCTTTCAGTAGTAACAGATTAAATTCACATTGAAGCATCCGATGGTATCGATTGTCAGAACATTGCATCACGGCTTTCCGAGGTGGCCGTGATCGATTGTTATAAATAGTGCTACATATATCCATTACCTAGGAAAGAGTACGAATGTACCTCACTCAGTCAGTTATTTGTTTGATCCCATGCAGGTTACAATATCACCAATATTGCCTACAAATATGTTAAAACTGCGCGTCAGTCACTGTGTATTCTTGGAAGGAACCTCCTCATACACAACGGGCTGTTATCTATGCTCGGCGAATAACATTGTGATAAGAAGCAGAGCTCAATATTAAACCAATTGTTGTTGATACTTTTTGTGTGGATATATTTAAAGTGTTCCTAAAGTGTTCATCTGTATTGTTTTCGATTAAAGATATGGAAAACCTACCTTCCATCTCACATTTGAGAAAAGGTGCCAGAGAAACATGGTATTTTTCTGCAATCTAAGAAAATCCGATCATTACAAAATACAGTTGTTGGTGTAAGTCCTTAGGTAAAGACACAAAGCAGATGTTCAGTTCTTGGTATTCCAATACGGCAATGAGGATGAGAGATTCAGAACATTGACCACACTGATATGGAGTGAGTGAGTGAATATTGCTTAACGCCGCATCAGTAATGTTGCAGCTATTCGCGGCGAGTTGATATGGAACTGTGACTGTATATATATATATAGTGTATATATATATAGTGTATATATATATATATAGTGTATATATATATAGTGTATATATATATATAGTGTATATATATATAGTGTATATATATATAGTATATATATATATAGTGTATATATATATATATAGTGTATATATATACAATATATCTGCACGGGCACACTGTTGACTACATCTTTAAGATAGGATGTGTTGTTTTTAATGAATGTTAACTTATCCAAATATTATTCATTGTTAAATAAATGTTATACATTTTTATTCTGTAAATAAACATTCACATATATTACTTACTACAGTGCATGGAAAATAAAGGAATTCAGCATCCTGAGTCTAGAATTTGGTTTCAATTTAGTCACATTCAAGAATTGTTTCTCCTGTGTGCCCTTATGGTGGCAGTGAGAGTGTATAAAACTGTGCATCGCACCTGTCAGTGGACAACAGTCACAGCCTATTTATCATCTGCGTGCCCTGGTAGCACCGCCAATTGACAGTGAAACTAAAATATGTAATGTTTCTCGGAAATGGGATTGTCAATTCAATAAATTCACTGCCGTCACAAACACATGCAAAGGCAAGTCAACTTGCCACCTGCAAAACAACCTTGGGGAACACAATGTACACACCAAAATATGTAACTGCGTCAGACATCATTTCTGTCATTTATTTGCTACACCGTTCAATGTCCTCATGCCAAAAATATCGAAAAAACATCGATTTCACGAAAATGATTAACATGCCACATACTAACAGATAATTTTAAGTACCTAGTGCGTAAATAGTTAGTGTATTGATTACTGTAATAGTGTATCTGTATGTGGTTGATATATTGATTACCAGGTCTATGAAACTGCTATACAACTTTTGACAATATCTCCTCCTCAAATCTAATGTTGGCATTCGGCGGAAGGACTGAAGATGCCAATAAGGAAACAGATGGCAGATGCGGCTGAGGCGAGCCTGAAACCGGCTCTTCATGCGAGTTTGATGTCCCAACATGACAGCTGAATACTTCATCCCCAATTGGAAGACTTCCTACATTACCAGCAAGTTTAAAGCCGTACAATTACAAGGAAAATACACATAAACGAAAACCCAATTTTAAAAATAATCCACAGACCTATGCCGATGTTTGTGTGCTACTATGAATTTCATATAAAATATGGAATGAAATACTTACATATTTCCAGTCCTACAATACAATCATTACTTTAAACGTTCTCACATTTTCTTCGGCTCTGTCAACAATGAATATACTCATAAAATTACATAATTTGTTCTCCCTCAGTTACCTGCCCCTGGCGTGGGTGTAAGATAAAGCTCCCCAGTTCGCGCGCAGTGAATGACAATATACTGCGATCGTGGATTCTAATCCCATTTCGCGCTGATAATGCTTCTTTCATTGTCACAACCTCATCGTTCTCGTGGGTGTCTACACCCTGCGTCACTACATCTGTCCTCTCAAACCAATATTCAATGATATAACTGAAATAGTGGTAAACCCACATCCCTCACTTACACAAGGTCACACCTAAGTAACGAAAGAAACGTTACATCTTCAATATGTTAATTACACCCATAGCCTTGTTCACATTGCTGTTTACATTGACGTGTGTGATGTAGAATAAGGAAACTGAGACGAAAGTAGTCAGTCAGATGTAATGACTAGTCGTGCCCATAGCAACTCACCATCAACCAGTCATGTCGCTCAGAACACTCAGAACACTCAGATCACATGACCGAGTCATTGAATAACGTTGTGTCCTTTTGTGTCATGATTTACAGAGATGGTCTGACGTGTGTGTGCTCACTGCCCTAATTACGTAGGCGTGGCACTAGAGATTCGTGATGTATGCGAAGTTCGTTACGTTCCTTACTTTGGGTGCCCGGTTTGGTTTCCTCGTACCAAGATCAACCAGCAATGGTAAGTGTACCTTCAATAACATCTCCCCTGTAAAGTTACGGTTTGGATTTGGCTTTCATCACTATATTCTGGTGTTGAGGATCGCTGGCTTGATTGACTCACGTCATCATATCTCAGTTTCAATCGTCATGCTGCCAGTCACTGCATAGTCTGCTTCAGACTCGATTTGTGATGAAGGCCATCGTATAGCTGGACTATTGCTGAGTGTTGCGCTAGACAACAAACATGCAAACAAACAATACCATCTAGTAGCGGGGAACGTCGTTCCGATTAAAAAAATTACACATCTAGTTTTGATGGTGACTAAAATGAACTGGCTATTCGATTACGACGCTGGTATCATAGTTGCGTTAAGGACTTAAATTTGCAGTGTTACGGCTACTGTCCACAGCTTAGTAACATTTTTATAGTTTTGTAATGCTTTCAATTGTCAATACTTGCTTTTGCCCGGCAATTTAGATACAACAAAATATGTAAGTTTACCATGTTTTCTTTTCTTATTTTTCCCCAAACCTTTCTTTGACAAATAATTAACCGGACATCTTTCGTGCAAATCGCGTGAGTGACGGATGCTGCATCATACCCTATTTGCGAATGCCTCGTGTCATTATTGGTTTCCGTTGGTCCACCACTGATTTTGTGAAATCTGTTATCGAGATTGGTGGCTGTATGTTTACCACGTACCAAGTTTTACTCTTGTATGTTTACGTATAGCCAAATGATAGACCATGGAAATGGACGCATGGTTCGATAATTCAGGTGAGCCCAGAAGTATCATTGGAGGCCTACATTGATCCGTGCATTAATATTATTGATATTGTTCAAAAATTATTTCTTCCAGATTTGGAAATGAGTATGTTTGTAGTAGAAACATCTCCGGTCGGTACCATCCTCAGGTGCACTTTGGGTATCTCTGTCAACTGTACTCGCCTACAGATTAAAGCGCCCTTTGCTCGGAGTGTCGTGTATGACCCAGTACACGACCACGTCTACTGGACCTTCTCGGAATTCATAAACAGGATCAGATCCTCTGGGGAGAACTATGAACACAAATGGTTCAAATTTGACTCGAGTAAGATCATCGGTTTAGATGTGCTAACTTGAAGTTGTATATTTACATCCCTTTTCACATTGGATAGGTGAAAACTTTATAAGAGGAAATGCATCTATTAAACCATTTCCAACTTCCAAGAGTCCAGTGTTGTGTGTTTGGAAACTTTAGTTGTCAACAGTTTAGTCATGATGTACAGAGGCATACAATGGTAATTACGTACTGTTAATGGATTATGAAGAGCCATATTGTGTCAAAATATATCAGTTATTAACCTGAATATTTGATCACTGTTGATTTGTTGCCCATACACATACCATATGAACAGCGACAGGTCATACTGGAACAAAATAGATGTCACAAGCCAATTAGACAGGAATTGAAATTGTGATACATATTTTGACGTATCTCTAACAATAAAATCCAAATGTAACGTTCTACCTTCGAAAGCTTTACAGTTGTAGTGAACCAGATTTTGTCATGTACAAAATGGTAGTAACGGTATGAACATTTACTTCACAGAACCATCTGTTGTTGCCATTGACCATTCCTCGAGGTTGCTGTTTGTGCTGTCCTCCAGCCGCAGCTCGTCCTTGCGATCAGTGTCCCTGCAGACAAGGCACCAGACGGAGCTCCCTGCCCCCAGCCCCCGCTTGTGGGGTCTCGCTGTCGATGCGCTCATGAAGTAGGCCTATGTTTAGTTTAATACTACTCTCTAAAAAATATATTTATATTGTCATTATGTTTATGTATATATGTGACACACGTATACTCAAATATTGTTTTTATTGGTTATTAAACATGACACTCGGGATTTATTCCAGTCGGTAAGCTTTGGGCCTGTATGCATGGACCAAGAAGTCTAGTGATTGACATAGTGAGCAATGGGAAAATGGAATAGATGGCATGTATCAACCAAGTCGGTGGGCCTGACTAGCCGATCCCGTTAGTCGTCTCTTACACGATGCATACTACCAGGCTGTTGAAGACAAATTGAAAACCGTGAATATATGACGGGGTGGGTGAATTAATGAATGAATGTAACGTTATAATGTGCGTCACTGCATTACAACAAGTTTCAGTGTGTCCAGCAGCCAGGTAACAACATCAGGGATGTCTTATGTCCATGACATCACCAACCTGTTAGAAGGTGAATGGTATTAATAACCTATTATAGATCGGCAATGGTAATGAACGTTTTTGTGCGCAGCTTATTGGATTTGTTTGAGTGGTATTCTAGAAGTTGGTGGAGATGACAAAACTTTATGGATGATCAACTTCTTTATTTTCACAATGGCGACGTTTCGGTATAGATTCTTTTACTGTCTTTCAAAAGTTCTTATCATATTATTGTTTTCTACTTGATGGAGTGTGTTTATTGTTTTCTACTTGATGGAGTGTGTGTCGCATAATGGAGGGAGGAAATTTACCACTTTGGCGGAGTAAATGAGATACACAAAGAACATTTAGTCAGTTGTTACAAACACAGTAGTATCTGACTGACAAATACCTTCATATGTTGTGTACATGGCGGTTGTTTTGCAGGAATATATTTCTAGCAGAGGCAACAAGAGTCATCATGATGAGATATGACGGAAGTGCTCGTCAGAAACTCCTCGACATAAGTGCTAACTATTTCGTGGCCATGGCATATGACCCGGAAGGTATCGTGCCCTCAAGTTTTATCAATCTGCTGGTAATCACACGTTGTGTGTTTGTTTTGGTTCAGTCAACAGGATTCATCTATATTAGACTGGCTGTAAGTTATGGTCGTCTCCTACGATGAAACGGAGCAAGACCGATTCCCATACGAGTAGTGGGCTCTTACAATAAACAGGAAGAACTGGGATCAAAGCTCACTTGGAATCCTTTCAGTTAACACCACTACCGGTTTCAGATTCAGTATAATAACATAGTAGGGTAGACTAGAAACACAGCACTACAGAGTATAGTGTTCCTTCCTCATAAACCTAACAGAGAGTTACATACACGAGTACAAGCAGGCATTAGGTCCTCTCGTTTCAACATCTGGTTATATGTAGACTGTGTTTCTTCCAGGCCAGAGGTTATACTACAACCTATGGACGATGAGGGTATTCGGATCTGTGAACATTCACACGAGGAATAGTACAGTATACTCCCTCAGCAATCAGTATCCGTCTGTGACTATCTATGAGGGAGTGCTCTATATGACAGATTTCAATGAAAGGTTTGATTGGTATTGAATAAGAACATTAAATTACAATGTTTCTGTCTGTTCGCAATGGGGTTTTGTATATGACAGCGTTAAATGAAGACTGTGTTTGGTTTGCATTGAGTGCATAGTGTGTATCTACCTTTGTCTTCCGATAGAGGTGTACATGAACCACAGTGTTGTACGTGACGGCATTATATGAAAGGATTGTATGCATAGGACGTATCTAGCTCATTTGCTGCTTTTTGGTTGGTTCATAGGACTGTTGAATAACAGTGTTGACGAATGTGTTCATAAGTCAAATCAAGCTATGAAAGACATCGATGCTGTATGTCTCAAAACGTTATGATAATTGTTCCTTTAAAAGGAAACACGTTAAATTATGTTTTGTTCGTATTTGCGTTTTGACATGTCAAGTAGACGGTCGCAAGTTAACGCTTCCATTCTAATATATTTGCAGGGAGAAAGTCTTCAAGATGTCCCGAAAAGGGAAACTAATTTCGGATATGCCTTGCGATGGATCTAAGTCCGGTTTCGCGAGAATCGCCGTTTTTCGAAAATATGGTACGTTCAACTAGTGTAGACTTACAGATTTGTGATTAAGTGTGACAATGACACATGGTGACTGTGTTGTTCGCTTAATTAGAATGAGAAAATACATATATACAAACTTGTGTAGATGTGTCAAAAAGAATGCTTGTAAAGTTGTGAAAGTGAAATTGTCGGCAAATATATAGGAGGTATAAGAGGGTTTTCCATGTTCTGTTTTACGTTCTATAAATGAAATATTGGTTTGACGTAACTGCGTCACGTCACGAACGTAACACACTGCTATATTATGTCCAGGGTGTTCCCCCGGCTGGTTTGGTCGCACGTGCAGCCTGGCCTGTGGACAGTGTCTTGAAGGAAGTGCTTGTGATCACGAGTATGGTTACTGCACACAAGGATGTGACGTGGGATGGACGGGTCGCACCTGTAAGGCAGGTGCGAATAATTTAGTCACGTTAATCTACTTTACATTATAAGTACTGTAGTGTAGTATTTCAACCACCTGTCCCCCACAGCATGTGGTTGTCGTTGTAAGACGACTGAAGGGATCGGGTCGTCTGGCTCACTGACTAGCCTTGTATCCATGTTATAATGTATGTACCCACAATATGCAGTTTGTAGGAATGATAACGATTCTTGTTAGAAGATGTTTTATGAAGCTTACATTAATAAAGCGTTCAAAATATCATACTGTAGGTATGTGACGACATTTCCAAATTTGAGGTATAAGTGACGAAAAGGATGTATAAAAGCAATTAACTTCGACGTGTACGTCCCCGTGTTTTTTCCAGGTGAACGATCTACTTGGTATTAGATATGTTTGTGACGTGTGACGGGTGTCGGGTGACGGGTGACGGGTGACGTGTGACGTGTGTGGGGTGTCGAGTGACGGGTGTCGGGTAATAGGTGACGGGTGTCGGGTGACGAGTGACGGGTGTCGCGCGATGCTGATTTACTCATGTGCATTGGTGGCCAGACTGATAAAGAAGTCATGTCAATTACTTTCAGAATCTAAGGTCAGGTCACATGATTCTGGGACTACATCTACTCCTCGCTCTCAGGGTCACCCCTGGTTAACCCAAGGTTAACTTTTGATTTCCTCAATGAAGAGCGAGTGAGTGTGAATGCCGCGCTAAAATTGTAAATTCCTGCAAACATATAAATGTTAGTGATTGGTAAACGGCTTGTGAAAAATAGAACATGACCAAAATGATGTTCAAAATATGTTGTGTTATGATTGCAAGTGTCATATGAAGTTCAATGATACAAATTCTCACTGAACGAGATTAACCGAGTTTATCTGTGGCAGCCAGCACTGTTTCACCTGTTCCCATATTAAAACGATTTTCTTATTTCAAAAAGGTCAGTGGGTCTTCTGGACACTGGTGGGTGGATATGGCCTTCTCGGCTTACTCGTGTGTGCTCTGGTCGTGGCCGTTGTCAGATATAAGAGGTATCTTTGGTGTAATGCTGTCATGCGTTGTTCATGCCTTGATGATTAAACACTGACTGACTGAGTTTGGTTTTACGCCGCTTTTAGCAATATTCCAGCAATATCATAGCGGGGGACAGCAGAAATGGGTTTCACACACTGTACCCATGTGGGGATTCGAACCCGGGTCTTCGGCGTGACGAGCCAACGCTTTAACCACTAGGCTACCCCACCGCCACCTGATGATTAAACAAAACGATGGTTTGATTTAATATTTTATCGAATGTCATATTGAATTATAATTATGTATACTCTAAATGGCATCCATCATCGACTGTCATTCTGGATGACAATACTAATAACGTCATGTTTATGTTGAGTGTACATCGCGATTTTATGCAAGATGACCTTTCTATGTAAGTACTACCAAGCAGATCAAGAACTTTTCATGTTAATAATTGCCGCCTGTAGGCGTGGCACCGTTTTTTGTCATATGTACCTTGAATACTGACGGTGTACAATATGTCCATGTCGTAAGCATACACTGCATGTCATTGTAGAAAACTGTCGCGGCTGAGAATACATCAGAAAGAGGATACATATTGTCTGAAGATGGGGGACAAAGCTCACAAGGACTACCTGACGGCGCAGGATGCAGATGGGGGAAATAGTGACAATGTGTATGAAGTGATCTGAGAGGTCTTAACGAAACAGTTTCCAGAACCTTGGACTTTGGCCGATCGCAGTGGCATATATGTGTGTGTGGCATTGTACGTTTCAGACTGCAAGATATTAGTACAAGATCTGTTAACCGTGAACAATCAACTGTGCTTTATGTGTTTTCTGCTGTCAATAAATATATTACTCATATATCTTACAAATATATTGTTTTGATAATGGATCATAAACACATGCATATGACATAGTTGGAATTGCGCTATGGAATCTGTTTTAGCAGAGATTTCTTATGGATCTTGACGGTATTTCATCTCAGGAGTCTCTTATCCAATATTACGTGACTACCAGTTGTCAGTCTTAACTTTTCGTGGGAGCCGCGGTGGCTGAAAGTGTTACATCGCTGGATTTGAGTGGTGGCGATAACGTGCCTTACTCTGAGAGTGGGGGTTCGAATCCCGGAAGTATTTTACTTTACGGAGAAAGTGTAATCCCAATCTCTCTCTCTCTCTCTCTCTCTCTCTCTCTGTCTCTCTCTCTCTGTCTCTCTCTCTCTCTCTCTCTCTCTCTCTCTCTCTCTCTCTCTCTCTCTCTCTCTCTCTCTCTCTCTCTCTCTCTCTCTCTCTCTCATATCGCTGGATATATATATGGCGAATATTGAAATGAAATCCAGCGATGAAATATGTGTGACTCCCTCTTTCATGGAGGTAAAAACATGTTGCTTAAAAGTAACAAAGTTAGGGAGTGACTTCATTCCTTCATACATGGGGAAGTGCCAATAAACGCGGTGAGCACAGATATAGTTACATATCTATCTTCAGTGGTTAAAAGTATTGTCCTACGTGACTTTGCGGTCCTTCTGACGTATTCTAACATAAATACCCGTATCCAAGGGAGGCTACTTCAGCCTTGGCTTTATCTTCCCGAGTAATCTACCATTATCTAGCAAACGGTATATCTGCCACAGGCATAGTTCTTGTTACACATGTCACAGTACAAAACTTACCTGACTAAATGCCAAGTGCGCTTACCTATGTATCAACTGTACTTTGTGACTTTTTCGTCTTATCCTCCGTAATTTGGAGATCTGTGTTCAAATTGTGACGACATTTGTTACATACGTGGTTAGTACGTGTGATTCAACCTTGTTGGGGCCTTTTACCAATTACATGTTATTTGATATGTGCATATCACCCATCCTGAAAGCTGTAACAGTCAAAATGTAATAAATATTTGCATTCCTCGACTCATTTGTAAGAACAAAACAAGATGATCAACACATCAAACAGTTCATGGACCTGAAATCAAATATTCTTTGTAAATTAAAAGGAGAATTTAAACATGTTCCTGAAAAATCACCTCAGATAGGCCAAAGAATAAAATGATTGCCATCATGAGCATCTAGCAGACATTAGGATGAGATTATATGCAATCAACTAGCCTCAACATCCAATCTTTTTAGTCGTCCTCATGACAATCATGAGTTGCTGGTGACCTTCTCAGAGCCCCAACACGGGTTTTGTTAAATGAACCGAATGACCGAATGAACAAGTACAAGGACATCGTGATTTTTAGCACTTCGTCGTCAACATTTATAGATGTAAAGATCAGCGTGACTGCACTTGTCAATATTACCTTTTTAAAAAATATTCTTATTGCTTTTAAAGCACCGTACAAATACACCAGTTACTATGTACAGAATAATGTTTTTTTCCTGCAACGATGTAGATTTTTTGTCGATGTCGACGGCTACTTTATGATGGGTGTAATGATCCCTCTTGTCGACACTGATGGCACGGGAGGACCTGTCGCAAAAGGAACCGCAATTCACTGTTTAGAGACGCGCTAGGAACTGACGATTGTTGGTTGGAAACGCACTTGGATTGCATCAACATGATATATGTCTCAGACATTTAACACGTTGGCCTTTCCTCGCACATCAAGCTGACCATAAACATAGATTAATGTTCAAATACCCAACTCACTCACTCGCTCATTTGTATGTGACACTTAAGCATTTAATGTTCAAAGTTATTAGCTTTGAGTGGATGATTCACTGTACTGAACTTTCCACTGTCCTTTCTCTAAACGTTATCTCAACGTTTGAATGCATACAACTAATTGAAACAAGGAACAGTTTTGTTCAACAATGACGCTTTCAACAATCCACTTATATTGTGAGGTGTCTGTAAGAGACACAGCTTCCTCACACATCATCTACAGCAATCCTCAGGAAAGCCAGTCGATCTCATTGGGATGAAAGTACTTTCCAAGGACACTATCGTCATAACTGTGGTAGCGCCACCTCTGTACTGCTATCTATAACAGACTTTGCTGCTGCCTCCTTGTTGTTATATTGTGTTCTTCGTAACGGTTTCGACACGCATGAGGGGTATCAACAGATATATGTGCTTCACATAGTTAGGATAATAAGATGCTTAAAACAATTGAGAAATGCAGCTCTATAACAGCATCATATCAGTTTAAACTATGCACACAAACTCTCTTAATTTGTTTTGGAGAAAGAGGGATACCGAAAGAGGGAAACCTAGAGAATAGCCAGTGCGTTTGGTCTTGATTTCATACCGAAGAAGAACCAGTATACTTGCATGACAGTCTATGAAGTTGCTCACACACCATGTGCCATCAATCATTTCCTCCCAAAGTAATATACATATCCACAGTCATATCTGGCAGTGATATTTATTGTGTTATAGTTTGATATGTGATATTCGGGTAGATGTGCTATATTTAGACTTGTATTACATTTAGACGGAAAGAACTGGAAAGATCTAGAAAGTGCTTCAATGAGCAATGCGGTTTTTTTCAAGGTCCAAAGTGACTTATTTAGATGATATTGTATTACAAAGGACACTTTTTAAATACCTATTTTGACATTATGCTTAGCTTCATTATAACAATAGCTGACGTAAAAAATATTAACTTTAATACTGAAACTATTAAAGATGTAGCTGCTATGAAGTTTAACTATCACTACAAAAAACAAACAGGTAAGAGGGGTCGTCTCAAAAACATGACCAGAAAAGGTATTGCAGACGGTGGTTGGGGTCGGGCCTGGAGACAGAGATATCAGCTAAGATAAGATAATCCTTTAGGGGAATTAAACGGCATGTCATAACAATTTACAAATAATATCCAGTCCTGTCGATCTTCGGGTGATCATGCCATCTATATATTTTGAGACATTCAATACGATGGCTGATTTAAGCTTTTCTATGGGTATCATACTCTTTTACATATCTTAACATAAATCTTATGAAAAAACGACACGTGACATATTCAACACACATGAAAGCATGAAATCTCTTTGAGATGACCCCTGTGCCTGGAGGCAGCACATGCATTTCATGCCAGGTGAGTCGATGGTCCGTCATCATATCTGTCTGAGCGACCTAATTGCCATCTATAGTGTGATCTATTGTTTTCAGCAGCTATTCGTATTTTTTCTTAGTTTTGCCCAATTTTACGAGTAAACATGCTTTTCTGGATATCCTATTACGCATCCCACTGAACGCCTAGTTAGGCCGATGTGGGTTATTTCGACATAAGCTGTTTGCAATTGTGTAAATTTTATGGATACAGAGAAACAGCCTAAAAACAGTTTTTTTTCTATTCCCGACAGTACTTTAGATGCTAGGTGCTGTGGTTGAGAGGTATATATACTCTGCCAAAAACAAAACGCATATAGGAATTTCAACTGTATTTTTATGTTTATTTTGAAACATCTTGAAGGCTTTTTGAGTCAATGAAATATAGTGAAATTGCACACTGGGAACGCAGACTTATCCGTCTTTGGCACCAACTCGAGGAAAGTCAGTTTGAGTGTCACATGGAGACGTGTGGTGGCGCTGAAGTCAATACCTCGTGTGACCACCGTGGGCATCCAGAACTGCACGGCATCGCCTCGGCATCGAACGAATAAGTCTCAGAATCTCGTGTTGCCCGATCGCAGCCCACTCTGCCTGTAGTGCCTGTGCGAGTTGCTGAAGTGTCTGGGGCTGAGGGTTACGGCGTCGCACCCGTCTGTCCAGGGCATCCCACAGATGTTCGATCGGGTTTAAGTCCGGTGATCTTGAGGGCCAGGGGAGCACATTGATGTTGTGGTTCTGGAGGAAGTCTCTAGTGTGACGTGCTGTGTGGGGCCTGGCATTGTCCTGTTGAAGCAACTCCCTCTGGCGATCAATGATTGGAAGGAGGTGTGGGCGTAGGATTTCGTCACCGTACCGTTGAGCTGTCAGCTTGCCCTGGATCATCACCAAATCACTTCTCCTACGGCAGGTGATCCTCTCCCACATCATAACATTCCCCCGGCCGAATCTGTCCACCTGGGGAACGCAAGCGTCGGCGAAACGTTCACGTCGACGTCTGCATTCTTCCATCGCGTCGTTCGAATAGAAATCGTGATTCATCACTGAACCAGATTCTACGCCAATTCGGTAGGTTCCAGGCCTGAACGTTGGTGCACCATTGAACTCGATGTCGACGATGTTGTTGTCGAAGCACAGGGCCAAAATAAGGTCTTCTGGCACGTAAACCAGCCTCTCTCAACCTGTTCCTGACAGTCTGTGCAGAAAGCCTTCTCAATCCGGGTATTTGTCGAGCGGTACTGGTCGCCGTAGCTGTTCGATGACGCAGGTGATGTACCCGGATGTAGCGATCCTGCGCCGCAGTGGTCGCTCGAGGTCGCCCACTACGAGGGGCATCTGCTACCGCATTCTGCCGGCGATATCTCTCCCAGAACCGTTAAATGGTGCTTTGGTGAACATTCATGAGTCGGGCAACTGCACGTTGAGACTGGCCAGCTTCAAGCAAACCAATGGCGATATGACGGTTGGCTTCACTTAGACGTGGCATTTTGCGTTCGTCAACAATATTTCAAATACAGTGAATAATCGACAGACAGCGATCAACCTTTTATACCCATCATTGAGACTATCTGATCACCAACTTCCACGTGCATTGCATGTGAATTGTATATTCTGTGACACTACACGCCGAAATTGAAAATCATGCTGTTAAATACGGGTATTTTACGGATGGTGCGTTTTGTTGTGATGTTTCAAAACATAAACACCATAGGACTCATAAACAGAGCAAAACCTTTTGTAAAATGAATCACGTTTTAATTCATTGCCACATGAATATACTATTTTCATGATGCGTTTCTTTTTGGG